GGGTTTTGACTGAATGTCAGATAATTTAAATCATAGACTTCACAAGAACCGCAGTGTGAAGCATTTTTCGTAAAGCTATACAAGCGCGTTCAACATGATCAACTCAACTGGGCATATCTTGGCAAATGATAGGTATATAACTCGCACCTATAAATCACTGGAAACTTTTTATTCTAAATTTAGTTTTACTATATAGCCATAATTGCACACAATTTTCTGATACGAGTATACAAAATAGCACCACCCTGGATGATGCAGAACCTCTGGGGCATCGTATATGTACCCCTTGATTGATGTCTATTCTATAACTGGGAAATTGTGGGAGATTTAATTCATCCCTGATGATATTGCTGAAGCATATGATCTCGGCCACGACACACCATTGACAGCACCCCAGAATGCTCAAGCCAACGACACCAGACCATACCACCTGGTGCCAGACCATACCCAGATGATTCCGGGAGAGCTCAGGCTCCAACCTATCGCTTTGCAAACAATGCACGGTTGCCCTAGATCGCACTTTCCACGCCGCTAAGGTGCACAAACAGCTTGACCCAGTACATATCGGAAATTGATTTTCAACTGGGAAAGCAGTCGAATTGTTGTATTGCCAAGTTGTTGATCTAATAGTTGTGAGGTCTACTAAAACCCCGTACTGTTCAACGAGCGCGTGTCTTGTGTCTTCTGCCGGGCCCTTGGGTTGTTATCGTGACCAGAACGCACGTAAGCGTATCCATGGAAACGATTACTAGTTTGCTTTCTAAATCAGGGCCGTGTGCGTTCGATGTGCGTATGAGCCGAATCCAATACGCGCACGCAATGTCTGTGTGCTCCGGTACGTACACCCTCATACTGGCCTGCTTTGATTGCATCCTCCATATTGCACGCCGACGCGGGTACTATAAACCACTAGCCCACGCAACAACGCTTGATCAAAATCGCAATCGACATCGACATCGAACGAATACTAACCAAACCGCACACTGTTATTGAGCTGCGGGGTTCATTCCTCGTTGTTGCATGGGTCCCAATCCCATAGAACTGTACTTCTCATCTAAAGTAAAATCGGCAGGTATGTCTGGCTTCGATCCCCTGCGTTTACGCCGGCGGGGTAGAAATTTGCCAAACAACGTCTTCGGTCTCGGGTTTTCGTTCACTTTCTGTTGTGGAAGTATGTACATGTATGGATGTCGGGTGTGAATTAGTTTGTGCGTAGACCCTTGTGCGATCATATGTGATACAGAGGGGTATACAGAGTCGTACGGTAGATACCAAGCGTGATTTGCAGACAAGCAGCAGTTTCGCGGGACATCCAGTTCGCGTTCGAAATGCACAAACCAATCTTCGAAAAGGCACCGAACTAAATCTAAGACTATTTATAGATGATTCCGAGACTACAATTGATAAAACGATGAATAGGTGTATACATGCTAGGCAAAGCGCCCGGAACAGGTGGTGGGTGCAAAGGTAAAACATGCATATGAGCTTTGTGACGGAGGGTAGACACGTATAGTTTCTGAGTGCAGTACATATAATCCCATATAATCCCATAAACGAATCGGGAAAATAACTGGGAAGAACCGGAAAAATCGAGATATTCAGGACGGGCAAGCGTGAGCAGAAGGCCGGCAAATATGAAGATTGTGAGAACTTCTGAACCCTTAATAAACACTGTTAACTTAACTATCGACCAGCATTGTATATAGACATCACGGGCAATAGGGCATTAGGGTTTTAGCGTTTAGGGTTTTTGCTCTTAACAATTCAGTATCCAATTCACAGCCATCGCATCACGTATACACATATTTACAAGCGAACAACATAAACAAATGTTCAGCCAGTACCTACCTCGTATAGCCCGCAGGGATTACAGACCAGGTTCCCTTTCTTGCTGCGTCGCCAGAGAGTGGTATCGCGAGTTTGACAATTGTGGCATATGTTATTCTTCTTGGCCACCTCCTTCTTGTTTGACTTGCGTTCCACGACGCTCTTCTTCCGTTTCAGACTTGCCGCTGCCCCGTCTAATGATACTGATGTCAAGCCCGCTGAGCTGCATATGTCAAAGATGATGTACAAGCTATGTTATCGTACCATAACCACACTAGAAGAAGTAGGTTCCTAGTATGTCCTTGTTCGATGGAACTCTCCAGCTAATCGTCTACATTTATTGACAGTCTCGATGACTTGAGGCACCGCGCGAGCCCTAATTGTTTATATAAACTGTCAGATACAAGACTCGAAAAACATTATCTGATTGGAGATAAACACTTTCTTGGCTATAGTGTTCATTGTCCGCCGTTTTGTATCTCCGCTTATGTACATGCACATCCGTTGCTAAACAATGATATTCTGCTTTTTGTTCATATCGATGAAAAGCAGATCTTACAACGTTTTGTGCGCGAGTATATATGTACGAATATGAATAGGGGGTATTTGAATACCTGTATAAATCAGAGGTAATAAATATATAGGAAGAGGTCCAACATCAGTCCTCAAATAAACATTCGATAAACATGTAAATTTTGTGTTTTGTGTATGCGTGTATGCGTGTATATATATATGTATGTATGTGTGTGTGCGTATGGAAATGTATAGAAACGGAGACAGAAATAAAAATATAGATACAAATATATACAAGTCCACACATAAACACTC